AAATTGTATTCACACCCAATTCTTCGTGGTGCTAAAAGCAATTGTTTCTTTTTTGTAGACACCCTTGTCCCTCTTATTTATAAAATCCTGTAAATCTAATATACACACCGTTTAATTATAATACTCATTCTCGTTTTATTATACTTATGACAATAAGTTTAATAAAAAGAATGCAATTAGGCATTTTTATCTACTGATAGCGAATACATCATATGAATAAAACAGTCACAGAGGCTGTCAAATGCAGTACGTGGGTAAAATAGCATCTAGCCGCTATTCCGTAAAACGTAGTCACTCCCTGAGCCAAGAACATTGAAACCACTCGTACATTCGTCGCATTCCCAGTTATGGCATTTCAAGGGTTACTTACGATTGCAATATATAGGGTGATATTTTTCTCTCCTATAATATCATTAAATTATATGAGAGAACAGTTTGTAACAATTTGTTGACTTGGCGACTAAGTTTCGTGGCGGGATGCAGCCAAAGATACGCTGTTACCGTCATGCCTCGGGAGATTGCAATTGCCGTGGGAAGTGTATGCACAGCAGCAAGTCCCAGATAGCCCTCCACCACAAGGCAGTCGTGCCGCGGGAGGGTATGTAACGTATTTACTGACGAAAACAAAGGCGAGTAAGTTTATACAAGAAATTTTGAAATAATTAATTTAATCTTAAGCAACACGAGAATTGCTTTAATTTTTAATTTTTTTTTTTATTTTTATTTATTTATTCTATACATCATCCTAAATAGAAAAAAGTTGGCGTGGTGGAAACACAAACTGGACACAGTTTTTCCGTCCACCAGGTCGTCGAAAATATTTAAATAATTAACCTATTACACACTCAGGCCAGTGACACACTATACAATATAACACCCCCACCAATAAACCATAAAAATTGCACGAACAACATATACCAATTGAAACAATGACGCTCCACAGCCGATGCAAGAAACCTGTTCTTGACGAGAAATTCTCATTCGAATACAGGATGTGTAATCGAATTTACATATTCGAACATGAACTAAATGACGACGTCCTACTTTTAGTTATGCATAATTTGTAATTGTTTGACTTATAAAGTAATTTTTTAATTTAAATTTGATATTGTTTCCTGTTACATTAGCAAATAGCGCAGCCGGTAAAGAGTTTAATAGATTTGGAATAATATAGTCTAATGTTTTTTTCCCATATAAATTATTGTATTTTGGTAAAAGAAATTCGTTTTTTAATTTTCTACGTGTTGTATAGTGATAATGAGTTTTAGTTGTTTTAAGGTAATTGTCTGTAAAGTAGTTTTCATTTAATAATGCTAGCTGCACTTTCTCTTGTATAGGTATAATTTTGAAAAATGCAAATAGCTTTCTATAGTCTTCTTTATATTGTGATTTTATTTTGTAAGGAGCAATTGCTTTTAAAATACGTATTTGTAATGAAAATATTTGATTAAGATAGGTTTTGCATGTTCTCCCATAAACATAATAAACTTAAATAACTTTCTGGCAATCACTTTATTCACACCAGACATTTTTGAGAAGTAAATATCACTTATCACCACTAGACATGTTGAACGACGCAACGAAGATCTCCAGTAGCATGCTTTTTGGTCACTTACCAATATTATCGCGGTAGCTTATTTGCCAGAATATTTTTAACACCCTAAAGCCAAAAAATATCACATCCCTTGAAATATATCTCGCCATCTGCAGGTTGTCAAATCCCGTTGAGGGTAGATTCAGTGTTGAGACTTAGCGTTAATTATGAGTAATGTCAAAAGCGTATTAGATTTTGACATACGGGAATCAGTTTTGACTCTTAAATCTTACTCTTAGTTGTGTGGTAATGAACAAAAAAAATCTATTTAATTTAACTTGACAAAATATTATTTTCTACAAATATCTTGTGCAATTTATAAGAAAAAAGTAATCCCCACAACACAATATGGCGAGGAAAACAAAAAAGAGCGATAATTTATGGTTTTTATTTTGTAAATCTCGGATGGCTTGGTGCCTCCCCGCTTGTGATACAAATCATAATAGCATTTAGATAAGCAAGGGTGTTCGTAACATTTTTGTATATTTTCATGTTTCTTAACATATAATCTATATTCGCACTTTTTTGATTACTCGCATTTTAAGAATGTGCAAATTAAATGGTCATTAGTCCTACACTTTGTCACTAATTGCGTAATTAAATTAGGTACTTACAATTCAAAATTTTATGCATATTGCACAAATAATTAGTGCTAATTAAATTTTTTCATGGTGATCAACTGTTTTACTTCACATCACTTCACTTTACTTTAATGTCAACTTCTGTGTAAATCACAATTCCGCAAATGTCGCGTTCTAAGTCTTAACACGGTGAGTAAACTGTTTTATATACCATAAGATTTTAATTAATAATAATAACGTCACGGACGTCATTTTGAAGTTACACATTACATTTTTACACATACTATATATGTGACACTAATAAAAAACACTTTATTTGCATCACAAACAAAGCTGTCTTACTGCTTAAAGTTTCCTCCTAAAAACCCAGACGTAAAAAGGCAATATTAAACTTAATTAACACTTATTAAATTACACTAAATATAAAAATACGAGCACAGATTACAATAAAATTATGACAAAGGGATACTGTTACAATCTTCTTAGATGTTTCTTAAACGAATTTCATGTAAGCGAGGACTGCACGAGTACCACAAAGCATTCCACAAACGAATGGAAATGAGCGAATACTTGTTCGAAAACTATTAGCGAAGTGTCTCCCTTGAGAGTCCCACTTGCCTTCGAACTTTAAATGATAACTATGATATTAATAAAATAACAAGTACGTCAAATATAGTATAAAGCCTTACATAAAGGCTGACTAACTTTATCGCAATATTAAAATTCTTAACTCAAAACAAGTCCACGAAACGAAACTAGTAATGAAGACGTTTAAATCTGAAGTAGTTCTGAGAAAATTTGCGAACAAACAAAATGTTCAATGCAGCAACGAGAAAGATTTCCATTTTCGTGAAAATGCGGGCTTTTTCCGACCAAATTGCGATTGTACAACTGAAAACGGTCTTCAAGGTGCCTACAATCACGTCCGATGTTTACATGCAAAGCAAGCAAGCAAAGTTTTATATTTTTTTTCATGCTAGATAATTTCACAAAGACTATTATGAAAACTAAACAGTATTGAAGCTGATGTTCACGGTTGATTATAATAAATTTCGATAAAATACATTGAAGCCGTGACTTGAGAAAAAAAACCTCTTCCGCACTCAACGCAAGCTAAATTGACTGTTTTAACCTATAGTGATTTTATATAGCTTTTTATTTTAGCTATACATGTAGTGTTGTTGCGTTAATACATACCAAGAGTTTCTTTGAAAAAAAAGAGCGTGCGTACAAAGTACACATGTCAGAAGTGAAACTTCTTTGGCAAACTAATTTTTAAGTCTTGTTCATATTTATACAAATCTAATCTAATTTATACAATCTAAAACTAAGTTGAAGTTAAAAGTTTTAAACTCTCTCTCTCTCTTTCAATCTTTCTCACTATAGCTCTCTCTCTCACCTCTCGCTCCGTGGCACTGTGCGTGATGCGACGTTGGCCCTTTCTCACTCTCTCTCAATCGCTCTTAATCGCTTTTCTTCGACAAAAACGCTGCACATCTTCGTGACGCTAATTTTAATATTATTCCGTTTCATCCGTAAAAAATTTACCCTCATGCGCGTAAAGAAGTGTCAGTTCAAAAATTTTTGCCAAATTAATTTTATAAGAACACATTCATTCTTCGTTCATACATATTATGTTGGATAACCCGTCGATTCTTATTCAACAATAAAAATTTTGGGTGTCACAGAATGCCTTATAACCTACGACTTATTTTAAAAACATCGATCACTAAAAAGTAATATTCTCTTCCATGGAATTCAGCATAAAAATTAGATGCCGATATTAATTTTTTTTATGGATAGGTAAATACATAAAAATAATTATGTGTTGATAAAGTTGATATCTTTGTAGACCGCGAAGGTTAGATATCAGCTATTTTAGCGCGTGAATATTAATATTTACGTAATATATCACTCAAAATATACTTTACTATTATACACTTATACCTTTATTCATAAGAAACTAAATTAAACTATTTAATTATGATTACACTGTTATGGTAATAAAAGCAGAGCAATAGCCTTAATTCTAATTTACAAATGAATGAGATAGACTACAAAATTGTGTATTATATTAATATGTAGGTAATAAAGTTTTCTCTGTAAGACACAGGTATAGAATTAAATGTATGTTATATATATCCGATATGAGCAGTGTTGGCCTAGTGGCTTCAGCGTGCGACTCTTATCCCTGAGATCGTAAGTTCGATCCCCGGCACCAATGGACTTTCTATGTGCGCATGTAACATTCGCTCGAACAGTGAAGGAAAACATCGTGAGGAAACCGGCATGTCTTAGACCTAAAAAGTCCACAGCGTGTGTCAGGCACAGGAGGCTGATTACCTACTTGCCAATTAGATTGACAAATGATGAATGATTGAACCATGAAACAGATTCAGAAATCTGAGGCGCAACCCTTAAAAAGGTTGTAGCGCCACTTATTTATTTTTATGTTATATATATATTTTTTATTTGCGACTATAGCAAAAATATATATTTAATATTATACATTTTTAAATCATAAACACGTATAAAAAACAATAAAAAAAAGGGATAAAAATACTTTAGTGGATACAATAAAATATGTTTGTAAATATCGTAAGTCGTAAGACATTTTAATTACTAGAACATAGTAATTGATTTTTAAAGTAAAACGGTTACTTAACACAGAATGTGTGAGTTGATTATTAAAGTTGATTTATTATAATGTCGCTAGAAGTCAGATTAACTTCCACATAAATATAATTACATAGCAAAGCGTGTAGATCGAATTATCACCGGTTTACTACTCCGCGCGCAAGTATGTTTGTGTGTTTGTAGACAACATGTTGTGTCGCGGATTGATTGTGTTATTTGTGTTTATTGTTTGTTCTTTAGGCCAAAATTATGGTAACTATAATACATTCACGACTTTTTATATTCTCGTATATCTATGAAAGATATTATTAGATTGATCAAAAGACCAAAAAGAACAAAAGTTCTGTGATTTAATATTTAAAGCTTATATTATTAGATGGGTCGTTTAATATTACTTTAATTTATTTCGGTTTCATTTGTCTCATATGTTTCATAGATTATTTTTGTAGGCATTTTGAGCATTGAATAACGTTGTAAAAACACATATTTTTTAGTATTCAAATAATTTTTGCCCGTCAGGGCATTTATATATTATTTTATATTTTTTAATATGTATAAAAAAATAAAAAATAATATATAAAATAATTTTAAATTTTTAAAATTACAAAGAATACACTAAATTGGTGACTCCAAAACCACACAGTTTATATAAGGTACTGGATTCATTATGTCAAAATTTAGTAATCTTACTTTGTACCCTTCTTTATATACCAGTTTGGAAATATAACAATTTAATTTTTTAGTAGCTAAGGGAGCATTCAAGTATTACGTAACGAATTTGGGGGGGTCCTTTTGTAAAACGTTACGATGCGGGGCGGGGATTGAATTACGCGTTATTGTTAATATTATTTTCGACTTTCCAGTACTTTACACCACATAATGGTAACGTTTTACGTTTTACTATACTTGGGTACAGAAAAACGTTACGGCGCGTTACATGGGGGGGTTTAATAATCTCCAAAAATTTTCATTTTATTCAATACCGAATAAGTTTATGCCCACTAATACAATTCTGATAAGGATTAAAAAATACATTTCATACTGTTACAGACGGGCCAGCAAGTCACTCAAGAACCGTAATGAGTGGTAGACTTAATGCCGTGGATTGGACACCCCACATAAAAGGTAATTAACATTAGCTATCTAATATGAAAAAGTACTTATTAATAGGTACTTTCCAAGCAATACAGCAAGGAAGTGCTTTTTATATAGAACAGAGGCAGGGCAGGAAGTTCACCTGATGTTAAGGGGTACCGCCGTCCATGGACACTCTCAAAGCCAGAGGGCTCGCGAATGCAATGTCTTTTTTGGTACGCTGTTTTTTTGGAGGACCCTAAGTTGAAACAGTTCGGATATTTCAGTGGGTAGCTGGTTCCACATAATGGTTGTGCGCGGAAAAAAGGTTAATTTATTTTGTATAATGTATGTAATTTATTTAGATAATAAAGTATTTACAATATTTTTACCAAGATACTAATAATAATTTAAAATGGATAAATAGAAAGATATTATATTTATTTGTTATTCATTATTATTATTGTTAAGAGTGTAAATAATTGAATTAGATTTTCTAATAAACTATGCTTATTGAGTTTAGAAGATCAAATGTACGATGCATGCATTTAGTTTATTTGTTCCGCTCAATATTTTAAGCCTTCCAATATACTGTACTATATAGTAGTGGGTACACATTTGACTTGTAGCCCATTGAAATGTTACCATTTGAGGGCCAAACTGAACATTTGTTAGAGGACGCAATTTTATTTATGGGACATGTAGGGGGGGGGGTCAATACAAGCTTAACCTCAAGTTTGTGGGGATGGCGGCCGCCAGCCGCTTGAAAAAGGTGAGCAAAAAACACGTTTTTGGCTATATCTTCTAAACTATCCATCGTACATAAAATTTATAAAGACACATTTTGTAGCAAATCGCTTTGCCTACAAAATGTGTCTAATATGTAACTTTTTATCATAAATCCAAAATTCAATAAGTTATAAGTAAAAAAGTGATAGCGGCCGGGGGACAAGCAACCCTTGAGGTTAAGCTTGTATTGACCCCCCCTACATGTTCCATAAATAAAATTGCGTCCTCTAACAAATGTTCAGCAAATGTAACATTTCAATGAACTATTGGAAGTTTGTGACTTTATTAACGTTTTATCTTTATCACTCATGTGACTTTCAAAATATAACTTTATACAACGGCTATATAAAGCTACGTATAAGATTCTTAACACCTTTAAGAATTCGGCTCGGATAATTTAGAATCTTTGATCCACACTTTGAGTGGCAATTATATCGTAATTGAAGTGAAAAATAATAAAATTAATGAATACTAAATCAGTCTGCACTTAACTAATTAATAAATGTATATAATAATAGCTGTTTCTGTCAAATTGTGTTACGCTATTATTTTTTTTATAGAACAGAATTGGCAGATGGCTCACCTGATGTTAAGTGATACCGCCGCCAATGGACAGTCTCTATGAGGGCTCGCGAGTGCGTTGCCGGCCTTTTAAGAATTGGTAGGTAATGTTGAAGGAGTCGAATTGGTTATACAGTGGGCAGCTGAGTTATGTGAGACGGATGTGGACTTAAGTTAAAACTCGATGTTATTATGAATAAGGGCGTAATATTTGATTTTAATAGTACTTTGTTATCCTTAGAATATACTGGACTGCTTAACCCAGAGTGCGTGCAGCAGTACATCCGAATCTACCTAACAAGAATCGTTCCACCGAGAACCTACTTATACCACCACGAAGTCATTGCCACACACACCTACCCGCAGGGCTACTACGGCGATGGTAGCGTCGATGTGAGAAAATATTTCGACAGTAATTTTAGAACTGCCCTGCGATTCTGAAAAGGTGGGAGCTTGTAGTTTATTGTGCCAAATCATAAAATGACTGCTTCACGACTGATTTGAGAGCGACCGCCGATGCGAAAACCGCTGTGTGAGTTCGAAAAGTGAGTTACAGAATCGCAGGGCTGAAATGTTTTATAATATATAATCTTAGTAAATCAAGACACTAAGGTTTGTAAAGAAACTTTGAATATCGCCAGTGGGAAATAAAAATCAATTTCTAAGATTAATTGTCTTCAAACTGCACAAATAATTTAAGGTAAATAATTTGAAGAAGGAAGGTGTATCGTTCTTCCAACCTTAATGGATCACCTCGACCAGTCTAACCACTGACTGGCCCAAAGGCCCCATTGGTTGAGGCTGAAAAGTTCTATATATCTATATCAGCCAGAATAACTTGGGTACCACGCTTTAGGGTTTTTCGTCATCGTCAGTGGTTTGTAAGCGCAGATTGTGGATGTCTACAGATTTTTTAGTACACTTTTTATTTCGGCGTTATATCAGTCATAAAATACAGGAATTATTAAAATTAATAGCACTGTAGTAAATGTGAATATTTATTACAGATTGGCTGGCGAATAGTCGGAGGTCGTTTCGTGGACATAAAAGAGGCACCGTACCAGGTTCTATATGGCAAGTACTGCGGTGGGACGCTCATAGCTCCTGAGTGGGTGATCACCGCAGCACACTGTAAGTAAGTGTAACTGATAACTTATTCCGTTCATAAATAATGATGAATCTATAATAGTCATGGTAGAAATAATACATAAATACTCATTGTCTTTCCACAAGACAGCGTTTATTAAAGCACTTTTTGCTGCTTTGCGAAACCACCGGCCCGACGAGGTATTTCAGAACCAATTTGACTTAGGGTCTTTCAAGAGAGCGTAAAAGGTTTCTTAAAAGGCCGACAACGCACTCGTGACCCTTCTGGCTTTGTAAGTGTCCGGGTGATATGACATTAAGTGAACCTCTTGCTGGTTTGCCACTTGTTCTGTAAAATAAACAAGCATTTAGATAGATAACAGGGGTGTTAGCGGATGACTTTATCTTAATTAATGAAATTATTTAAAAAAGGCAAACGGACTGCCTTCTCACGTTTTTTAAACATCGGTTGTACTAATTATTACTATTAATGTTAAACAATTGCTTTTAGATACATACCTTATTAAAATCCAATACAATTTTACTATTTTAATTACACTTTTACCTTTGGAATTTCGATGACCTGCACCGCATGTTGTTTTAATCTTAATAAATAAAACAAAGTCCGTCCAGAATAGCAGAATACCTACTATTAAAAATATTTTAATTTACAAACAATCCAATTAGTCCATTGAAAAGTTACATTTGGGGGTTGCGTTTTTTGGGGGAGGACGCAATTTTATTTATGGAACATGTAGGGGGTCAATACAAGCTTACTCCAAGTTTGTGGGGTTGGCGTGCTTGTACCCCGGCCGCCATCTTGGATAAAGGGTCCAAAAACCACGTTTTTGGCTATATCCTCTAAACTATCAATCGTACATAAAACTTGTAAAGACACATTTTGTAGCAAATTGCTGTGTCTACGATTATGTCTCTTTATGTCGTCTCTTTAATTATGTCGAAGATTACCATATCAGCAAGTTGTCTGTGGAATAGGCCTACTAGGAATACCAAAAAGTAAAATTGCCTTAAAAAAAAAATTTTTTTGACCGCCCTTACGTTCCCATAAATAACATTGCGTCCTCTAACAAATGTTAAGTTTGGCCCTCAAATTGTAACATTTCAATGGACTATCGGGGCGCTGTAAAACCTTAGCTATTAACTTAAAGGGGAAAATGATGCAAATAAAAGTTGTTCCCAAAAACGATCTACAAAAAAGGTCTGATATTATTTTTTCGTAAAATGATAAAAAAAAAGTTATATCGAAAAATATAAATTTTTTTCTCGAATTTCTGAAGATTTTCGCTTATAACTTTTTTATTTATAGTTTTACGATAAAAAGTTACTGGACCAAAGTTGTAGAAATTTAATTTGCAACAAATAATGTTAACAAATTTTTTTATCAAATAAATAGTTTAAGAGATATATCATAAAAACCGTTTCAACCCTATTTTCAATGGCCGTGGGGGGGGGGGGGGACAAGGGTAGCCCACAAACTTGGTTTTAGCTTTCAAAACGGACCCCCAACAACAAAAAATAAAAAATAAATTGCTCCTCTAAAAAACGCAAGGTTAGGCCTAAAAATGAACATTCAATGGACTAAATAGTTCATGGGTTTCATAACTGTCGAACATTCATGTCCCGTGCTACGGTATGCTCTCCTCTGAAATCAAAGAACGTACTTAAATAAAGGTTTGGAATCGAAAAGAAAAATCCAAGATATTCAGATAATGGCGCATTTAGATATTAAATTTTTTTTTAGAAAAGATTTAGATAAGATATTTAAAATTTAAAATAATATGAGTAATGAAGAAGCATGGATAATATACATGTTGTCAAATATTTATGCGTGCATTCACAAATTTATTTTGCGTAAACTAAGGACATAATATATTAAGCTACTTAAATATACAACAAATCCAGGCAAATTCTAACGTTGAGTATTGCAATTGATGGTTGTGAACTTAATAATTATTTTGTATTAATTGTATTAGTTTGTCATAAAATCATAAATTAAGTTCAGCTAATCTGTAAACACGACATTCATTGACTGTTAGGCGGTACGAAGTTCGCCAGGTCAGTTAATAATATTTTTATATCAAATTTTTGTGTTGAGTGATATTTTGTCAATGGTTCTTGATTTAACTCGATTATTTTTCACAGAGAAAATGCGGAATTTGTTTATGTCGGATCGACATATCGTAGCCTGGCGCAGCCCTACACAATTTGTGCCCATTTCATCCATCCTATGTGGAACCAGTCCAAACTCCACACTCATGACTATGATTACCAGCTCATTCTACTGGAGAAAGCTGTTCCTGTCACAGCTACCACTAGACCCATCGCGATTGGCAATATTGCCGACGTAAGACCCGACATCATGATTGGGGTTAGCGGATGGGGGCATTTATCTTATAGTAAGGTACAGTAATAGAGAAAAGCAAAAATTTTGTTCTGATTTTTTTTTAGAAATTTTAAAATTATAAAGAGGATTTTTTTTGTAGCGTTTTACGGAATCAACCCAAAAAGTACGGATCCAATTTAAAAAATATATTTCTTCTTTTAAATAGTAAAAGTACAATTTTCTATTATTTTGTACGACTGAGTAGCCTAGGGTAATCCTATTATATTATATCAGTTATAATAAATCAAAAGCCATATATATATACTCACGCATCTATAGAGAACTGGGGGAAAAGTTTGGGCCCCTGTCGAGAACCCTGGACGCCCCTCGCTCGACAAGTTTCTGATTAGCGCCGTTAACCTACTTCTAGTTACGGATTATGAATGAGTTACAGTGAATTAGCCACGATGATAAAGCTTCGTCATTCTTATTAACTTATTGCTGCATAGTTTATAGTTCGACACATGCCTATTTAATTCCTTTGAACCTTCAACGCGACGCTTCTCAAGACATTTAGCGCTAAGTACGTCACAAACGTATAGGATTTGAGATACAAGAGTCATAGTAAGCACTCTGAATTTTACTCCCAAAGTTTTTGTTGAGTAATATAAAGAATTCGTATAAAGCTTTGCAATGATCTCTTGATTTTCTCAACAATCAGAGTCTCACTTTTCACGAATTCTAAGCTGGTTTAACTTATGTTTGCGAACCTTCTGGCAGCGTATCCATGGGCGCCGGTGTCGATTTACATTAAATGAGCCTCCAGCTTGTTCAGCCACTCTTAAAGAAAACTATTATTTTAGAAAAGCCGAATGCAAGACCATTTGCGACGAGTATTTGTGCCAGTGATGGCAGATGAGCTCTGTAAAGAGATGCCCGACGGCAACTATAACATGATTACACCAAGAATGTTCTGCGCTGGATACCTCAATGGAACTAAGGATTCGTGTCAGGTAGTAGAATTTTTGTTTATGATAATACATATAACGATTTTACTTTTGACGTAATTATATTTCAAATCGGCACGTCTAAGAGAACTAACTGTTGTGGTCTCGGGCAGCGGGCCTGGTCATTACCAGCGCTGTGAAACACGTCTGCTCCACAGTGTAATGTTGAGCCAGGGTAAGTTATAACCACAACACACACACATTACACACTTAAAATATCCTAATTCCCTTTAAAAAAAAATTTGTTCATTTTTTATTATTATTATTTGTGTTTCTGTGTGTGTGTGTTTCGTTAGTAATAAGAGCTAAGAGGAAGTGTGGTAGCGCCATAGGGTTTTTCAATATCTAATATATTTGTAGTACCAAAATCAGTGATGTATATTATATTACATTGTCGTTATATATTAAGAATATGGTGGTCTATTTAAGAAAATGTGTATGTTTGTATTTTGCCTTTAATCAATAATAGCTAATTTATTATCTGTATCAGAGCTGGTAAGCGTTATACAAAAACTTTTAGTAAATGAACACAAGATGTTCAATATAATATTTTTTAAATAAACGTTCGTTTAAGTTGAATGTAGCGCAGTGACAGAATACACTAATTACATTAAAGCTCTAACAAAACACGAATGCCGACTTTCAATTGCATTATTCATACATTCCCTGCAGTTTTATTCGGGACGCAGCATAGTTTAATTACATACAGAGTTCCCAACGTCATAATTAGTCGTGTTTGTTCAATAATTGGGTTGCTTTAAAAATATACGGTAAAATATAGAGCTTGATTCTGAACAAGTTATCTTTTTGTGATTCAATTTAATTATATAAAATCTACTCATTTTAAAGGCTTATTATTGCGTTTTATCATTCTGCAGAGTATTTCAAAACAATCGCTGGCAGTGTATAAAATTGACAAACAGATGATTCGTCACATCCAACGTGGAAGAAATACTTTATATATTTATTAGCCACGCAATTTAATGATATTATTCCATGAACAATATTGTAGGAAACAGAACAAAACACATACAAAATTAAAAAATCTGAGGAAAAAGACAAGCTTAAAATCCAATACGTTTTTGACTTAGTCTTGACTCTGTACTTTGCCTAAAGGCTTGAATCTTACTCTAAGCATACACGGAGCAGGTAGTTTATACTTTCTTTTATAAAATGCCGATATTTTGATGAATATTAACCGCCTTTTAAAATAATAAATGACATTAAAATCTATTGACATTGAGAATAGCTCTCGTAATAAACCGCAGTGTCACGCACTCGGCAAATTTTGCGGCATTGTTTTCAAATAAAAATATTAAAACGTCGGAGTGCGATAGCTGAATTAAAATACTTTTAATCTTTTAATTTAGGTCATGAAGGTATACGTCGAGTCAAGTAAATTTACATTCAACTTTAGAATTTTTAAGTGCTTTTACTTTTAACATTGTGATATTGTATGATCCGATGTTATTTATGCCATTCCCAAGCTTACATAATGTGGAAATAAAAGTAAGAGGTCTTTCCATTTTCTATAACAAACTTTAGTATAAAAGTATGTATTACGTATTAAAATTAATAATTATTTTTGTATATTATATGTTTGTTTTGGTTGTAGAGCATCAAAATAGCATCAGCGCCACCTCTTATTTTATTTATAACCCTATACTGACTAAAACAAACCGCTTCCCAGTTAAAATAAAAAAATTCTAAATTGTCAAAATCAATCATAGTTGATCAGTTTCAGTTGAACAGTTATTTAAAAAAAAATATGAATATACTAACCTAACCTAACTGAACAATAATAATAATAGATTTTTGGACAGCTCCGGCGCTACGGAAAATGCAGCCCCTCCACCCTTGCGTACCAAAGCACAGGCATTTTATTCAAGCCTCCGCAGCTTCGGCTTTTTGGACCAGCCTTAGCCGCTACGGCTTGCATAATGCCTGTACTTATGTTACAGTGGGTGGGGGCTGCTCTTCCTCCGCGCCTCCGATTTTTTTTATACACTCTAGGGGTAGGGCAGACAAGACCACGTGGATAGTGGGGTGCTCTGATTTGGTTTTGGGTAGGTATTTTTTGAATCATTTCAAAATTTTCGGAACCAAACACTATAAAAATTTTGACCTTTATAAAATTTGAATTATCAGCTAAATTCGCCTTTAAGTGCCTTGTTTGACCTAACAAAAGCTTTTTCTATGATATCTAATTGTTTTCGGGGCAAAATATTTATGGGTCCGTATACTATAGAATGTCCAATTCCCCGACTATGTTGCCGTCAGAGGTATTCAATAACTTACGTGTGTGTACAACTTAAGTAAATAGTATTGGTAGCCCGGTGATTAAGCACTACTACCTATTTTTTTAACAACTTTCTGTATAACATTTACAGCAAATTCCAGAAAGATAACTACTGTTGGACGTAATTTCTATCTAATTTCGTATCTGTTACTATTTTCATAGCTTAATCAGTGTTATACCTGTCGTATCCATACATTGGACAGTCGGTCAGGACATGTAATACCGTCTCTGTATTGCTACAAGGACAGGCACCAGTTTGTCTAATCCTGAACCTGTAGAGATACCACAAGAATCCAACGTGACCTGTCATTTGTCAACATCTGGGTAATAAATCCCGCTGGTTTTATTTGTTACAACATTTGAAAAGAATAACTTAGTTATGGCATATGACTAATATATAAACTTTAAATATATACTCTAAATTATTTATAATATTTAAAAGCGAGCGTAATAGTTGCCCGTTTGTCGACCATTAGTTTTATCCCTATGTATGTTTTAACATTGGCTTTCAATAAGAATATAAACAAAAATAGACATATAGAAAAAAAACCTTTTTAAAAAGAAAGAGAAATATGTGACCTAATTATCATGATAAAAATTATGATGTCGACTGCAGTGAATTCAGTTCTAATTTCAATTTATTTACTCGTAGGCGTCACCAATACATATGGAATTTCTATATTCAAGTATTTGGAAGGAGAATTGATTTTAATTATATTCTTGGGAGTTATCCTTGGAGTTTGTCCATACAAACCAACTATATTATCTAAACATGTCTGTACATACATTGACGATATTATATTGACTAATATGATGCGATCGAAGCGAAAAACGTAGCACAGCAGGCGTAGCCGTAACTTCCGAGTTCAGTATTGAGTTTCCGTATATTTTTAAATACTGTCATTATTTGTGTTATAGGCAATACTGTCTCTATTTTTAGCGCTAACAAATAATAGCAGTATTGCCTCTTAAGAGCAATTCGTCGTAAGAGAGCTGATTATAATGCAGGCAATCATAGAACTTTGGTCTCAGTGTTACAGATTACCCCTGCTGCAAAATAATAAAACAATGAGGTTTGTTTCGAATGTAACATTGTCTTGTTAGATATTCGGAATATGTCACGGAATAGATATACTATACTGACCACAAAGCTTGTTAATCTAGTAGCTTTTTTACAGCACGAGCAGAGCTGTCAAGGCCCTCCAAGCGAGATTCCATTCTAAAACAATTGCTTGCGTTGCTTTTTTCACTACGTTTGCGTGAAAGCGTAGTAAAAAATCCTGATTGACTTTGTTTTATATAAAACAAATAATAGAGTAATCTAATATTATTAATAGAAACCGCATTAATTTGACGCGTCGAATCTAAGAGAAAAAAACCTTGTTTATTTATTTATTAGAAAGATATAAAATGTAACAAATTTTTGATATTTCCAGGGCGACTCCGGCGGACCAGCAGTTGTTAACGGAAAATTGGTTGGCATAGTGTCATACGGTGTCGGATGCGCCGGTGCCGGACACCCCGGTGTCTACAGCCTTGTGCCCGTAGCCCGGCGGTGGATACGAAGTATCACCGGGTTACCTTTGTAATAAATCTCGCCCATATATGTTGTTTTATTATTATCTATATAGACATATAATTTATAACAAACAAAAACACACACATAAAATAACAATAATCAAAGAAAAAGAAAGAAATTAAATAACAAATATAATGAGAGATATATAAAAAGAAAAACATTCCCTTTTCCCATTCGGTTCGTTTCAAGTGTGTAATGCGTGTGTGCTGTGGCTGTAATTGGCCCTGGCTCTGCATTATGCTGAGGAGCAGAATGTTCCATAGCGCTGGTCATTCTGCCAGAGACCACATCATCTAGTTTGCGCCTCAGTCGCCAAAAAAGAAACAAAAGGAATGTAATAATAGTAGGTAGAAATAATAATAATATTAGTAAAAGTTAGCAGTGTAACTAATGAAGTCTCGTGTAATGGTGTGTAGTACCTAAATAAAATATAACAAAAAGTTAAAAATAAGAATAATTGTTAAGAAGTAGATAAATAAAAAAATTTTTTTGAAGTGAAACTTCTTTATCGAGGCTGGAAAAAAATTTAGTGTAACATTTTTTCGTTACGCGTCACATTTTTCGGTTACGCGCCATGTTGCTTTTTGAAGTCAAACTTCTTTATCGGCGTTGGAATGAAACTTCTTTATCGACGTATGGGAGAAATTTTGTAGCAAATCGTCACGTTTTTCCATGATAGTAATAATTCTATTACAATTAATGAAATTCTATAATAATCTTCGTAGTAATAAGGTAAAATGAAATATTTGTATTCATGTCTATGATAATAAAAGCCTTTTGTTAAACTTTATCTGATTTAACGAATTTCTGTAAAGTTGCTTATAGTAGATCATTTTTCGAAAAATAAGATCATAAAGAAGTTTCACTTCTTACGTGTGTACACCTAGTACACGCACAATTTATTTTAATTATATACATCTCTATACAATTTTGTTCAGGCAGGTTCACTTTATTAATTTATTTGCCATGACTAAAACTAACGATATTATAAAAATGTTTGATAGATTTTTTGATAAAAGTATTTTATTAATTGAAAATATAAGCTCAGTCTCCGTAATGAGCGAGTTCGGCTCCCAAGGCGCAGTATTATTTATTTCCCCGCGGAAATCGCATTAACATCTTTTAAAAAAGGCTAAATTGGATCTTAACTTCATTACCGTTAAAAATTATATAAAATTTCAAACGCGAATAAAAAAGTTCATCTAGAAGGAAATGGGTAACATCGGTATTCTATTTAATATTCAGCTTTCGTTATGTTAATTATCAATATTACAAAAAAATTGGGCGTAGAACGCATAGGTTTACGCATTTCTCAATAATCGAATCAGTGGCACTACGAGTACAACCTTTTTAGGTCTGGACCTCAGATTTCTGTATCTGTTTCATGATCATTGACAACTAATAGGCAAGTAGGCGATCAGCCTTCTGTGCCTGACACACGCTGACTTTTTGGGTCTAAGGCAACCCGGTTTCCTCACGATGTTTTCATTCACCGTTCGAGCGAATGTTAAATGCGCACATGGAAGAAAGTCCATTGGTGCACAGCCGGGGATACGACCTTAGGGATGAGAGAATATCGCTTTGGGAAAAAGGCGTAATGATATATATAAAAAAATCTAAATTAAAAAGAATAATCGCTGGATATAGATATGTCCCATTTAAGCCTCGTTTTAAATAATAGCCTAGTCATTTATGCCCTATATTACAGATAATAATAGATATGATGGCAAAATGAAAGATAATTCATCAATATTATTGGCCCTTCAATTGGAGTAAAAACAAAAAGGCATCAAATAAAAGCAATCAGGGTGACCTTAGGTGTGACCTTGGCTCGTTCAATAGATCATTGAGATCGACAAACACCGTCAATCACTGTCATAAATATTAAAATGACTAGCCCTTTGCCGGCCAACTCCAACTATATTTCATCGTATTGTTGAATCACCATTTCACGATAAATAAAAAGTTAAGAGTGAATTAGTGTTCGTAAAGGAGATCCGTATACATTTATGATTTTAGACATAGACATTACTAACAAAATAAACACACAGAAACACACAGAATAACAATAATAAAAAAATAATAAAAATAATGAAAGATAACAATTTTTTTCTTAAAGAACAAGGTTTTAATTTTGTAATTTTTCAATTTTATTTTTTTAAATAATTTAAACAGACAATGCGAGTGTCCATGGGCGGTATCACTTAACATCAGATGAGCCTTCAGCCCGTTTGCCTCTCGTTCTATAAAATCGTGTGCCTCGAACTTCAGTGATTGTATCGGCTTGAAGTAAATTGAGCCGCCGTAAACAAATCTACAATATTCGTTCTCATTAATTCATTGGCTACTTCTTAATATAGAAGAAACAGATAACATATTAAATTTATCAAAAGCTTTTACGACCACATATTAGTAATACCCGAAAACCATGTACGAGTATATTCATCAATGTCCTCTAATTACTGTCGATCTCTTTAATTTTCCATAACATAAAAATAAACGATAAAAACTATGTACTTCGTGGACTAATAATATAATACAGCAAATAATATGTTCCCTTTATAGAAGGTATATCCTATACAGTTATAAGACAAATACGTTATCAATGGAAATTATCATAAAGCTATCTTTTATATGTTACAATGACTTCTAACGACGATGTCGTCTGGATGACGTCATGAACCATAAAATGATATTGTTTTAAGTAATATTTATTTTTATAACCATTTAAAAGCTTTAAATAACTTTAATACTTCTATCCTTTTAGTTTTCGACTTAATTGTGAAACTCCAGTACTACTCTTGCAACGGGCTAGGGAATTAGAAACCCACTAACATGAACCGTCTGAAATCGTTCCTTTATTTAAGTAAAGACGTCATATTTATAGGGAATTAGTTTATTTATGTTTAAAGTAGCCAGTGACTGTATTGCGTTGAAATATGCTTTGATGATGATAACATGATTCCATTCAACCTTTGGAGTAAGCAAAAATTATTCTTTTTTCGTATTTATGAAAAAAATATCGTTATTTTCAAATATTCCTATAATTTTGATAAATATAAAAAAATAAAAAATAAATAAATCAGTGCAGCATTACAACCTTTTTAGGTCTGGGCTTCAGATTTCTGTATCTGTTTCATGATCATTTGTTAATCTAATTGACAAGTAGGTGATCAGCCTCCTGTGCCTGACGCACGCCGTCGACTTCGGCGGTTCCTCACGATGTCTACCGTACAAGCGAATGTTAAATGCGCACATAGAAAAAAAATTGGTGCACATTCGAGGATCGAACCTGCGACGTCAGGGATGGGACTCGCACGCTGAAACCGACACTGCTCTAATATAAATATTATTTACTGTCAAATTTTTGAAAGTTTGTGTTATTTATTAAAAATTATTACGGAACTCTAAAATAGACCCTCCCTACTTAAATAAATCATGGTCACGTGTGTGAATACGAAGTGCTATTCGTTGCGAAAACGCTCGGAAAACACTCGCATGGACGCTACGAGAATGCAGAACGATTATGAAATATACGGAGTTACGAAATGTAGCTGATTGCTGCTTTTCGGTAAAAAAAAGTTTATATATTTTAAATCTTACATTAATAGTTTTAATCAATTTATTTTGTCTAAAATGTAAAGTTAAATTTTTAATCGACTTCAAAAGACCCGTACTAAATAATAATAGGCCACAATTTTCTTGCATTTGCGTTTCAGTAAATGTACATTATGCTGTCGGAAGATAACCTGACTGCTACTGATAATTAGTGTGTTATGAAAAACTAATAAATAAATATAGTTACAATGTATGTCATCGCTTAGGTTAAAATTATGTTAATGTGTGTATTTGGCTAGTGAATAAAGGCTTTTATTATTATTATAAATATATATTATTTCGAATATTTCACTTAGAGAAATATAATGGATACCAAAAAAAATGCTTGTGGTGAGGTCGTAAGGTTCAGTTTGAATCGTGCCGGCGGATCATTTAGAGAAACACGTCTTTACTTCGTAAATGTATATTGGCAACTAAACTTAATCGTAAAAATAATATCAAAATAATAAAATCGCAAAACAGAATTACCATAAGGCTCCACCAAAGGACTACTGAAGTCCTTTAAAAATAAGTAAAATCAACAAAATTTATAGGCGCTTACATGCTTTAAGTTTGCTTCTACAATAGGGGTTAATTGTAGATGGGTTGTAGGTATTTTTGTATGCAAAATTAAAAACAAAAAAAAAACGTCTAAAAAATAAAAACAATTTTTTTGGGGTGGACACCCCTTATCACTTAGGGATTTGAAAGATAGATAGTAGCCACTTTTCAGACTTACTGACTATACATAAAAATTTCATAAGAATCGGTCGAGCCGTTTCGGAGGAGTATGGGAACGAACATTGTGACACGAGAATTTTATATATTAGAATATATAGAACAAGGGGCAGGAGGCTCACCTGATGTTAAGTGATACCGCCGCCATGGACATTCTCAATGCCAGAGTGCCCGCGAGTGCGTAGCCGGCCTTTAAAGTGATAATAAGTGTTTAATTAAAACTACGTCTATAACATAGAATAGTGTTTCGTATGTTTCGCGCGGGGAGCCAACAAGGCTCTAGTGGTTGAGTATGTGAATGCAGTAAATAGGAAAAATCAACTCGCGATCGAAGTAAAGGTTTGTCGAATGGAATTTACTTCTTCTATTTTGTAGGCTCAATTTGTGCTGAGCTGTTTACATAGGAAACAACAAATATAAGATCGTTACTAGATCGAAGCGAGTACCTTCCTTTGTATGTAAAACTGTTTAATGAATATATACACTAAAGCACCTTTTGGCAATTGTCAATGAATCAAACTTAAAAATTGTCATAGCACCCGCTTTTTTAAAAGCAGTAAAGTGTATTTTCTGTTTTTAAAAGTATTCTAGTAAATTTACCAGTGCCTTTTTCGGAGTACCTAGCAGGTTCAAAAGTTCCCCTCCCTGGATCCTTAGAGGACGTCGCCACATTCA